TGCAGTGTTTAATCACAGAAGCCATACATCGCATAAGAACCACACACACATTCACACACGCTCACTGCTTAAACACACTCAACAGGTACTGTACAGTTACTTTAACTTCGTGAGATGAGCAGTATTTCCCAAACTTAAAAGCTGCCAAGAAATTCTTGTTCTGTATCCAAGACACTGGATTTAGTCAAGTTACACAGCGCCACCAGCCCACCCTAAGTGAGATGTTCTAATTGCAACGAAACCCACACAAATACAAACCGGTTGAGTTTCCAGCCTATCGTTTTTTGGAAGTTTATTGGACTCTGAGTGGGATTTTCAAACGTGTGTAAGTGATTTAGGACTGAAAGTCAATGGAGCTTTGTGTTTAGGCCCTTTTGAAAGTCTTTCCTCATTTTTAAAGTGATGCAGGCTGGATTTCAAGAATCATCCTTTTTTCAGCAGGTGGTGTCATCAGAGCAGATGAATGAATCTTTGCTGTAACTTGGCTGAATGCTATGGAGTTACACCAGGCTTTCATTTGGCCCATTGCAGAACTGATAATCTTGCCTACTTTTTTGAAATTTGCCCAATAAAAGGCCTGGTTCGGATCTCCCTTATGTTATCAGTAAAACTGGCGTATCTCCAGCAAGCTACTACTAATTAACAATGGATTAGGCAAGATGAAAATGCTGCCCTTTTTTTCGTCTTTTTATTACACCCTTAGAACATAATTAATCCTCACGTTGCTAAGTCCCACGCTTTATACACCGTACAAATAAAATGTTGTTCTCTGTCTACCCACCTCTCAGTAGACATGGAAGAGTAGATGCCATGGGGTGTGTGTGATTATTAATAATTTACTATTTTTACCAAATATACTAACTTTACAGGTGGGATTTTCCCAATCACTCAGTGTTGGCCTATTCCTGCTCCCATAGACAGTGGGAGCAGAGAAAGGACAACATTGAGCACTTCAGAAAGCTCCAACCCACATCTACTGCTAATCTATGGAGTGTTATAATAAATAATCAAAGCTAAACCTCAGTGCCGTCAACAAAATAAATGAACAAGTTACATTTTATGGTGCATGAGCCTTACTTATTCCATTATTTGTTCCCATGCTAATGAGCAACATTCAGTCATTTGCAATAGGTGTCAGAATCATTCGCCTGCATTAAGCAAGGTTTCCCCATACCACCTTGCTCTTATTAACTCACAGCATTGAATAAGAAGCATTGTATTGTGCTGGAAAAAGAAAAAAGAGTCAGGGAATTATAAAACCTAGCTCTTAAACTGCTCTTTCCACCTGTACAGCTCAAAGCGCTTTACAAAGGGGCCAGTATCATTATCCCTGTTTTGCAGATGGGGAAATGGAGGCACCGAGCAGTGAAGTGACTTGCCCAAGGTCACTCAGCAGGCCAGTAGCAGAGCCAGGGATGGACTCCAGGTCTCCTGAGTCTCCATCCAGTGCCCTTTCCCCTGGGCCATAAATGGCTATTTAGCACAGTAACAGGAGCTTTGGCTCCTTGAGCGTCTTTTCAAACACCCTAAGAACTCCAAGGCAAAAGGGAAGGTAGGCAGGGAGTGTGAATAGGCAGAAGCAAAATGTTCAGCATGAACTACCATGGAAATAGCTCCTTTTCGTCTCTAGGCCGCTTCATATTCCCATTTGGGGTCGTGAAGAGAGCTGAACAAGTCCAGGAGTGTGGGCTGAAGAATCCTAGTTGAGCCCAGGGCTTGTTCAGAGAGTTACACCCGGGCTTCAGAACTGCCCTACCACAGCCAGCATGCTGTGTAGATGCCAAGCGGAGAGACTGGCACTGGGTGAATGTTTATGCAGGCAGCAGCCCGGTAGATTTCTCTGAAGGAAATACTGCCAAGCAAGTCATCAATGCTCAGAAAAACAGCTCCAAGAGCTCATGTTCGGATAACCTGGCTAATATGTCTCAAGGCACAGGCGTATCTGCTTAGACAGGCACTGAGTGGAAATGGCATCCCATTCACACTGATCCCCCAAAGTCACAAAATGCCTCTCTGCTTCCTAACTGCCTAACAAAATAAAATCTCCAAGCCCTCTCGACAGCATGGGCTGTATGTGCCCCTGGGTAAGCGTGAGGCTTTGGGACGAGAACCTGGGAGATTAAGCGTCTTTCAGGGGAAACACCTTCTTCGCTCTAACTCTGGAATGAGGCCGCAGGATAGCTTTGTCTGTGTGGAGTACAGGGAAAGGAGGAAGAGCCCCCGGAGCCTGGGACTCAGCCACCCTCCTCACAGATGTAATTGTGATTGAAAAGGCAGCCTTTCGTTGCAGACAGAATGAGCACACCACCCAGGGCTCAACAGGAGAGTTCATCAACTTTGCCACCACCAGCCTGGGGCCTCACCATGGAAGGAGAGAGACCAGCAGAACCATCCACTGGCAGGCGATGCACTGAGGTGGCAGACAAGTGCACCATGATAGGACACAAGGAGAAACCAAGAGACGTTAACTATGGTCAAAAGTCCAAAGCAGATTATGGGGCTGCAGAATATGAACACAGAGTCTCTGCTGCTCTAGAGAGAAAAACGTCTCCCCCTTCTGACCGTAACATGCCCGTGCAACATCCCAGAGGTTTAGCAGTGGCCTTCGTGTCTTTTACTCTCTAGAGTGTCTCCGTGATCTTGAACCCGAACACACCGCACCCAGCAAACAAGGGCATGAAGTGAAAAGCCCATAACGGCTAGCACTACGAACACTCCGCTCTGGCCAGGTGGTCGAGAAGGAACAAAGAGCGGTTCGTCTGTCACAAGCCCATATTACCCTCAGCACGGGGCATGAGGATAGCAAGGGTGCATGTGTGGACCATATGATCACTGCTGCCAAAAATCTCCACCCGAAGGCGCAAGGGGCACATGCACCCCTCAAATGGAGCGTTCCCAGGGACACAGCTCAAAGGAGGAGGAAACACTGTGGAAAATTATTTTAACCTTGGAAAATTCTTTTAACAAATTCCAAACTATCAAGAATAATGAAAAATAGTTTGAATCTAAGTTTCAATGAAACAACAGTCCCAACAGCTCAGCTACATTATTCCTCAGTTGACTGAGTTACCCACCTACTGACAACAACTGAGGTAACAATGTACAAACTGGTCTAAAAGGTTGCAGGCCTGGATGGAGGAATCTCTCTCTCTCTCTCTCTCTCTCTCTCACACACACACACACACACACACACACACCCCCCCCCCCCCCCCCCCCCCAGCAATTCTCAGCCATGGCCTACAGAATCATCCCATGCACCAAACCCAAGAATCCTTTCCATTTGCAAAGGACTGTGGGATTCGGGTTCTGGGATAATATTTGGCCCGTTTTGCTTCTCTGTCCTTGTTCCCTCCTTTCTCCCCCCCCCCCCCACCAATGCTGGAGGGTGGGAAGTTCTGCTCCAAGGGGCTGTGGAGCAGCTCCCCTTCCCTGGAGCCTAGCCAGCCGCCTGTGTGTGGGGTGGACGGGGAACAGCTGTTCTCAGGTTGGATGGATAGAGGAAGAGAAGGGGTGGGAGCCTCAGCAGGAAGGAAGAGACCCAGGATCCTGCTGGGGCCTAATGCCCATGGGATTTTTGCAGCTGTCCGCTGGCAGACGGGACCCAGCAGGTGCCTCCCCCTCCCCCACCAGCCCCTGGAGTGCACCCAATGAGCTGCAATGCTGCAGAGCTGCCACGGGCCCAATCCCGACACCCTCATGCAGCGATCCCAATGCCTCGGTGGGAGACTGGCCTGAGGTACAGCATCAGGATTAGAATCTGCAGGGGAAAAGTCTGCATGAAAGCAAGGGAGGTGGAGGCCTCATGGGGCAACAGGAACTGCACATGCTGAAATGCCCAGGATTTGGGAGTCCCCTACACGTTGCCCTTCGAGTAAGCGAGAGCAAACCCAAAGAGCACAGCATGGCACCTCTCTGTACAGATCAGGGTAGCTCCTTGGAGGGGAGTGCAAAGGGTTAATCATGAAAGTTCTGACTACAGAGTGACAACCAAAGCACCCTGCATGGATGCTGACATTCTCAGCCACTCTGAGCTACTTGTTATCAGAAGGGGACCTCCCGTTCAGATCCAATCTAGACCTGCACTGGGCCAGTGCCCTAAAGCCACGGTAACCGATCACGGACGTCACAATCACCTCACTGTGGAGGAATCCTCGGGCGATATAGCCGGAGGCACCACAGTGGCTCCTATGTCATATCCCCTCCCTGTGGCCAGCACCGGGGGAATGACTGGGAAAAGGTTGTGTGTCTGGAGGTTCCCTACCCCCCGATGATTCCTGGTTGCCATATTTTCCCTTGGAAGTACTGGGCAGCTAGTGCAATTTACAGCAGCCTTTAGGCTGCTCTAACTTGCACCGGAAGAGCAGCCTGGCATAGAGTGGGCCCAAGACAAAAGAAACACAAAAGTGGCTTTAAAAAGTCACCTTTACACCCTTGTCCCTCTTGAGCTGCACTGCTTCTTGACAGCAGCCAAGGGCTGCTGTCAAGCACCTATATAGTATAATCACATATTTATCTTCTCTGCTAAAAGCAAATACCCAGGAGCTTGAAAGCAAGGTACTTTGAAAATAATGTGCAACACATAACGGGCTAGATTCTCGGGGGGAGGGGAGAAGGGTTGGGGGTCAAATGGCATAGCTCCAGTCTCTTCAATGCTGATTTACACCTTCTGAGAATCTGGCCCACCCTCTCTGCTACACTGTAATGTTAAAAGCAAACCAAACTGCAATACTGGTCAGCACTCTGATCCTGCTCAGTGAGGTCTGTGGAGTTTTGCCACTTACTTCAATGGCAGCAGGATCTGCCTTTGTGTTTTCTCTTTACTTGTTTAGTAAAACATATCAAAGGAGACGGCGACACAGGTCAGCTGTAAAGTGACACAGCCAGCAGTGGGAATTTCAGCTGATACTAAAACCTCACAAATTCTCAGATCACTAATCTGCACACCTCAGAACTCTCACAAAAAGCAGGTGGCGCTCAGTGAATATTTAACAGCTGAAAGCTGCAGTGAAATTGCATTTTACTAAGACCGGATACGTTTTACAAAATATACCACAATCCAAGTACAAGTACACTCTGTAGTAGCGTAATAAATAATTAAAACTAAACTGCATTTGACAAAATAAATAAAATGAATTTTGTGATTCACTGTGTCAGACTTTTCAAACTGCATGAAATTCACTCATCTGCAAGGAGTTCCCTAGTGGTGAGCATGAATTATCCAGTATCTGCGTAGATTGAGAAAGATATTATATGGGAGAACTTCAGCTTGTGACTGGGAGAGCAACAATTCAAACACAATCCAGGGGCAGCCAGAACATCTTAAAAGCCAACGCAAACATTTGCAATTGTCACCTCTTTGCCTTTTAAACCACTGCACTCTATTTGTAAACACAAGTACATGGATACCTTGAGTAAGGCCAGAGTAGAGGTGCACTGTGCTGGGAGTGGAGCAGGGATCAAATTGTGACTTCTCTGGACCATTTCTGTTTCTGCTGTACTGTTACTGTGAGGAACTGATGTGAAATGGTTGCAGGACTCCCTATGTAATGGCATTTAGCAATCCCGGTATTCGCGCTCTCTCTCTCTCTGTCTCAGTACAACTCAACCTCTTGTTTACTGCCTTTATTTTTTTTTTTTACTATTGCTGTACAATGAACAGCTGCAGGATGCCTAGGCCTTTCTCCTGAGTGGCTAATCTACTACCCCTCAATGAGTAGTTCAAATTATTTCTTCCAATGTGTATTACCCCGGCCCTTGTCTACAGTGAATGACACTTCCCAGCATGCTGCTCAAGCACATAACTTTGACCCTAATTCAGGAAAGTTTCTCTTCAAGGTAAACTTTAAGCAAAACGTAATTTTTAAAAAACAAATCCAAACGTTGGAAAATGTTGACCAGCCCTCCTCACAGCTCCGTGAATCGCAGTCACTCCGGGTCATTTTTAAAATGGGGTCAGGCACTGGCTATCCTCTAGACTTCTAGTACGATGACAGATTACAAATTTTTGTGAGCAGCTCAGCCACTCCATTCATAAGTCACATTGGAACTCTTGGATTCAATACCATCTGGTCCTCGTGAGTGACTGCATCCTAAATGATCAATTTGGTGCACCACCTCCTCTTTCAATGCTACGATCTCTGACAGCACAGCATGGGTATTACAGTCTAGAGCTCTGGGGTGTGCATCTCATGGTTGTTCTTTGTGGTGGAGGCTGGTATAGAGAAATCATTTAGCTTCTCTGCAAGGTCCTTATCTTACTGGATTGCTCCCTCTACTGCCTACTAGTCTGGTAGTTTAGTAGTCCAGAATGGTTTTAACGTCCATGACCAATGCGTCATTGGCCTCTCACCTGAGCCTGCCCACAGGTATACCCTCTGTCGCGAGGAGCTCTGCTCCTGAGCTGTCTAGACATTTCTTTGAGGCCACCTACTGCAGTTTATATTGACCTGGGCTGTCTTTGCACATTAAGGATTAGATCCCCCAGACGAGCTGAACTGCAGTAAGCACAAGATGGGCGGGCACTGGGAAGAAGCAAAGGTGTCTCTTAGTCACCTTCACGCTCTCCGGATCCTGGCCCTTGGCGTAAGTTAAGGCAACCTCAGGGCTGCTTTAAGTTACACCTGGCTGCCTGCAGCCCAAAAGGGCCATTCCAGCAGCTGGGGAAGGCTGAGGTATACAGACACCCTGGTCAAGTCCCTTTTCCCCCGGGCCATGTTCTTATATAGAGGTCAGGAGTTGCTATTACAGGAAGACTCCACAGGGGGCAGGTTTTGCTGTCCCTATGGCACATCGGTGTGACTGCCATGGACAGAGCAACTGAAATGGGGTCAGATTCTGGCTTTGAGACCAAAGAGTCTCTATTCCATTAAGTCTCTGAGTCACCAGGACTTCTGTTCCAACATGTTCTTTCTAAATACTTGTGAAAAATTCAAGGGATAGTTTAACAGAATTCCTTTCAGAAGAGAACAGGAGAACACCTCCATTGATATCAGAGAGACTGCAGAATACCTGCGCCTACTAAAAAGGAAATCAAAATTCTGGAGGGAAACTGCAGATGAACAATGCATATTAAGACTCTATATGGCAGCGGTGTGAGAGTGTATTGTTGAGAAACACATGGGATTCCCTTTTCTACTAAAACACGCAGCCAGCAGTTGTCATCTACAACAATCTATTGCATAGTGAAATGGAAAAATAAAATTCATTTTGGCTGGATCAATCATCAAGAGAGACATGGCTTTGGGCACCCCCTTCTGCTCCCCCAAAGAGTCTTCACTTTGAAAAACCTGTTCTAATTCTGTATGCCCAGCATTCCCGGTGATTTTCATTGTTTAGTCCCTTGGTCTGTGTGGGTCCAGAGTTAATACAATCCAGTACCCTATCTGTTTATACGGCTCCTATCACTGCAGCACAAGTACCAGCATGTTTCACATCATTGGGAGATCTCCAGTTGCAGCATCAGAATTTAACTAACTTGCAGGGAGCGGTCAGCTCCATCTTTGCAACTGAGCAACAATTCATTTCTCGTCACTGCAGCTAGCACTCACTATGCTGCAGTGCTTGTCCAGTTACTTTTCCCACTGCAACGAGAAAGGTCACAGGTGACTTGAGATGAAAGTCACGTGCCAATGAGAGAGGAGAGAAGGGGAGGAGACGTGCAATAAATCAGGGAGTCCCACTCCCACCCCTTTAAAAAAAAAAAGAGGTGCTTCAATGGCTAGATGATAAATTAACAAGGCAAAGCAAATCAGGAGTCAAGACATCTCCCACAATCTGTACAGAAACAACAAAATATACAATAGAAAATGTCACTACCACCCCATTCAGGCAGATGCATTGGTTTGTTTTTGTCAAAGACAGGTTAGCAAAGGAAATTTTTGACCAATGGTATTTTGCTGCATGGCTGTTTCTACAGCGGTCTCATGCAGTCTAAGTGACCTTCTGCTTGATGCTGGGTGTTTCTGGTCTGTAGTCCTTCCTCTCGGAGATGTTTCGCTTCACCTTGACAGTAACTGGAGACTCCTGATTTAATGAGGGACTCGAATGGGATTTCTTCAGTCCTGGCCCATCATTTTCTCCACTACTCAGCAGCTCCTTCCCCCCTTCTTTCAGTAGGGCAACATAAATCTCATAGCGGATTTTCTGGAAAAGGAACAAAGGAATGGATCAGCGTGGGTGAACTTCTCTGGGCTGTGACAGGCAGGAGGTCCGCCTGGATCATCAGACTGGCCCCTTGAAATCTAGGAGTCTAATATGTATGTGAACAATGGTGGCTAATATAAATTACACCACACAGAAATTGTCTGAGCCAGCCAGAGCCCAGGGATGTTGTACAATTGCCAACGTTTATTCCTCAACCAGGCAAATCTTTGCTCTGTACCTAATGGCCCTCAGCCAATAAGAGTGCAGGGAGATTTACATAACTGATGGGTGGCAGTTTCTGAATAGCCATGCAGGGCATGCTGAGCTGTACCTTCCTGCTGCACAAATAGCCCTAATTAAAGCAAACAGGGCTACTCACACAGCAGGGCATTACTCAGCGTGCGTACGCATGGCGGGACGGTCCAAAGCAGCCGTTTTCAACCTTTCTTCATTTGCGAACCCCTAAAATAATTTTGAATGGAGCTGCGGACCCCTTTGGGAATCTTAGACATAGTCTGTGGACCCCCAGGGGGCTGCAGACCGTAGGTTGAAAACCAGTGGTCCAAAGGCACTGCGAAAATCTTTCTGCTAAGATTTGCCACTGTCCTCAGAACTCCCCAAACTTCTGTGGCCACAATCAGCCTGGCCACCACAGGTTCTGCTCCCCCTGTCCCAGCCCGTGTTACCCTAGATATTAAACCCTGGATCACACAGCGTGCACAGAATCACACCGGTATGCTCTATGTGTGGCTCTCCCACAGAGAGTGGGTGGGTGGGCCAGCCGAACGTTAGCCTTCTCCAGGGCAGCTCTACCCCGCTTTGCCTCCAAGAGGATATTCTGCTAGTCCAGTGTTCGGAAAACAGAATGGGGAAGCTCCTCCTGATAGCCTGAGGTCTACCGGACTCTGCTCCCTGTTCAGGCACCAATGTTTTTATGTACAGCAAAAGCACCCAATCCTAATTTGTTCCGTATCTGGACTAGGGTGTTTCCCTTTATTACAGAGCAATTGTTGCTTTGCAAGTCACAACCATACGGCACCTCACACAATGCCACAGCAATCAACAGGCACAAATAGTCAGTCATAGGAATTTGCCTGCAGGAGTTTAGCAAAGTTAGCCAGTACGGCTGGTGATGGGAAAGTGGCAATCCATCCCTCAGCAGCCATTAATGTCCGTGTAGGAATTGGAATTAAGGTGATCACAGTGGAGGGGGGGGGGGAAGGAACCCCACACTTCTACTGATTATTAATCCATTTTTCAAAGTAATAAAACAGTTGCTAAATTATGTTCCTGACTGAGCAAAAATGTTTAAAGAGAATTCTTTCCATTTATAATAAAATAATAAAATTCAAGCAATAATAATAATAATTTGAATGCAAAATAGTTAAAAGTATTGGGAACTGCTTTGAAGAGGACAAAAGATGAAAGAACGTGACCAGGTTTCCAAAAAGTCCTTTGAGAAACAAAATCTTACTGAGAATGATCACAAGAGAAATCTGCTTAAAAATGAAATGAGGAAAAAACCAGTCGGATCAGTTCCATATCAGGAGGTCCAGCACAGCGCTGCAGAGACAAATAAAAGAAAGCGGTATCACCTGTCACTCAAACAAGAACCAATGAGCAGAATTCTGATGATGTGCCATGCTTCACTGCATAATGAATGGACAGGTTGGCAAGAGGAGGAAATAGTTATTGCTGCAAGTGCTGGCTCATCATAACATTTATCAATGAGCAGAACTGCATTCGCTCTGTGTGGCTCAAATGATTAAAATAAACACAAACCTAAGCCAATGGTAACAACAGAAAGAAAACCCTGGGCTGGATTCCTGCCTCAACTGAAGTCGATGGGAGTTTTGCCATTGACTTCAACGGGGCCAGAATTCCACTGCTGCTGTCTGTCCTCAGCCTCAATTTAAACAAAGTACAAATAAAGGCTTTCTTTAAAGTTAAACTGTAAACATGCTCTCTTTTACAATGATGAGAGGCCATATGGGGCCAGATCCTCAGCTGATGGAAATAACATGGACTAGTTAAAAAAACCACCGTAGGAAACCTCATCAAGAAAATAAGAACGTTAAAGTTGCAAAGGAAAATATTTAAAAGTCTAAATGCTCACACAACTGTATCTCTGTCCCCTGGTGCATGTGGATTACAGGGCAGTCTTCAGTGAGGCAGTCACACAGCACAGCCCCTGCCGCCTCTGATGCGCATACACTGCCTCATTCAAAGCCAAAGATGGTTCAGTACATAGCAGAAAGGAGAAACTACTTTGTTAGCAGTACTGTTTTCTGCAGAGAGCAAGAATGGGGGAAGCACAGGTAGCTGAAGGAAAAGAAATGACAAGAGCTTACGAGAAGGGGAATCTGGCCTTCTCCCTCCCTTTGGGAGCCGTGCCATTTCCTTTGGGCGAATCAGGCCTTTTTTCACTAAGTTTCTGTATTTAATTTTTCCCTTCTGCTGCTTTCAGTGGCCTGGTCTGCAGGCTTGGCTTGAGAGCACTCCCTGCATTCTCGCCCTACCTCAGCAAGGTCAGTCGCTCACTCACATTCGCTCCTCCAGGCTTTGCTCCAAATGATGGAAAAACCGGAGGCAGATTTCAATTGCTGTTTTTTCACAGCTATCGTACGCTTTCTACAGCCAACCACCAATTTTATGCATTCTGTGAAAGCTGTGACAAGCATGAAAGTAGCCCCGCTTCACAGATTAGCACGTTAAAAACACCTTCTCTCCCACATGGTGAAAGTAGGTGTAACCTCAGAGCTATTTACATAGGCACCTTCGGCAGCTTTCTTCATATCTATTCGCTCTGCAGGATTCAATTTTCATTTGAGGTTCTCTCTAAGAAAGAGGACATTATTTGTTATCACAGGATAGCTGGTCCCTGTGGATAGACTAAACCCAGCTCCCTGGACTGGAGCCCAATCCAGCCAATTAAAAGAGGGCTGGATCACCCCTGGGCCTATAAAGGGCAGCTAGTAGGCAGCTGGGGAGGGAGGGATGAGCCAGGCGGAGGAGCCTCAGAGGGAAGTCACACTGGAGTGGAGCTAGGGCCTGCGGTGGGTCCCGGGAGCAAAGGGCTGAGGGCTCAGGGGAACAGCCCTGTGACTGCTGCTCCAGGAGGGGAGCAGAGCTGGCCAAGGCTAGGAAGCTTGCAGGAGCTGGAGGGCTGGAGACCCCTTGGAGGAGTGGCCCTAAAGCCTGTCACTGAGGATTGAGTTAAGACTGTGTTCTGCTTGTCTGATAACCTCTGTTGTGCAAATAAACCTCCTTGAAGAGCCGAGCGCATGGTTTGGAACTGGGGAGAAGCGACAGCCCTGCTGACAGTTAAACGTGTGGTGGGCCGCTGGTGACGTGTACCGATGCACATGGCCATTTCTTTCCACGCCTCACTGCTAAAACTTGCTAAATATAAACAGGCACAGAAAGAGAACAATATAAACTCACCAAGCCAGAAACAGACGGGGACACGATTCTCATGGCTGCAGTCTAACTTTCAACACCATATTCCATTACCTGTATTTTATCCTCTTCCCTCTCTGCTTTACCTGTTAGTCACCTGTGCACAGTGCCAAGAGTTCTGATGGTGCAGTGGGTGCATGTGCACTGAGTGGCTGGTACTAAGTTTAGAATGGCTGTTTCTCCTCTGAATACACAAATGACTGATTATTACCATTATTTATATTACGGCAGCATCCAGAGGTCCCAACTAAGATTGGGGCCCCACTGAACTAGGCACTCTGCCTGCCCATGGGGGCTAATAAACTAAAGAGACAGGAAATACAAAGGGAGAAAGGAAACATTATTATTCCTCATTTTACAGAGGGGGAACTGAGGCACAGAGAGGCTAAGTGACTTGCCCAAGGTCACACAAGAAGTCTGTGTCAGAGGCAGGAACTGAATTCCAAACTCTTGAGACCCTCCTGCCTGATGAGGTAACAGGTGACTGCAGTCAAAACTCTCAAACTGTGTCAAATGTGTGCGTCATTTGTATCTGCAGGCACAGGGGAAGCTGAGAATATAATGACCAACTTGCACAGTTTTCATCATATTTGACATACTGACTGCTTGCCCAGGTCTAAGCTTTGAATTATCTTAAGTGTTAAGGAGAGGTAATGTGTTAGGGAGAGTCTTGCGGATGTTTACTAGTAGCAAAAAACAAAGAGCCCGCATTTGCGCCACTGATAATACAGGCATACTATTACTGTCTTTATTGCTGTAGTAAATACTACAGTATTGTTATTCCTTTTCTTAGTTCTATGAGGAGTTCTGTAATTTCCAGAGCTTCTCTCCAAGGCAGATGCCAAGCCAACGAATTTAGTGCTGCATCCCATACATACCTCAAACTCCAGATAGTGGTCTTTCAGTTTGTAGTCATCTACTTCTTTGCCTTTAAGTTTCTTGTCTGGTGGGTAGGAACGATGCTCGGCTAGCTCGGTAGAGATTTGCTTCAGCTTAGCTTCATGTGATTTCAGCTGTTCATCCTTCAGAAACATATTAGTCATGTAAGTGTCAGACGCTCAAAGATTCAGTAAGTAAAAAGAAGAAAAAGATCTGCCCATACACTGAACAGCAACTTCTGGCAAGCGGCGTTTTTTAAACATTTCATTTTATTTATATGGTACATTGTTAGGGCTAGATCTTCAAGAGCTTGGCTCCCAGCAGCTTCCTTGTAGGCATCCAGAAGAAATGGCCAGATTTTTTTAAGGTTCGCAGCACCCAGCACCTCCCCAGGGTACAAGGGAGAATCTATCACTCCTCCCCCAGGTAGGGTGACCAGATGTCCCAATTTTATAGGGACAGTCCTGATTTTTGGGGTTTTTTTCTTATATAGGCTCCTATTACCCCTACCCCCGTCCCGATTTTTCACATTTGCTGTCTGGTCACCCTACCCCCAGGTGAGAACAATGGGAGTTGCTGGCTGTGGAGCACTGCTGAAAATCCGGTCCTTCCACTTTACTAACCCCCGGGCCAAATTCAGCCAAGTCAATGATGTTATTCGGGGTACAAGAAAGGGCAGAGTTTGACCCCACACTTAAGGTCATCACAATTTGGAAGCAACTCTTGTGGCGACAGGATTGGTACAATTGTCAGACCCCTCCCCTCTGTCATTCTGCCAGTATGTGCTTTCCAGTCTGTAGCAGCCAGTGGTTAGAGCTATGCAAGGCACAGGCTCTCCTGGGAGGAGGATGTTCTGTCCTCTCCTGAAGGCTTATTTCCTTTTGTTAAACTTTACTCCACTGTGCAGTTGGAGGAGGCAAGGACTTGCTATTCTTTCTTTCTAGGCCATTTCCTTTGCCACAATCATCCCAAACCCACTCACCCCCTCCAGTCCATCTGGGCAGAGAATGGCACTCTTCTGCAACCCCCTTCAAAGCATGCACTCCTTAGGTCATGCAGGCCCTACAGAGTTGTCTTATTTCTGAACTTGGGTTGGACTGGGCTTTAAATCCAACACTGCACTTTAACGTTATTCCTCAGCCCTGCAGGAAAGAGCAGAAATGGTGAAATCTCATCCGTTTCTGACAACACAGGGCCTGGATCAGACCCAAAGTCCATCTAGTCCAGCAGCCAGTTTCTGACAGTGGCCAATGCCAGATGCACCAGAGGAAAGTGCAAGGACCCTGCAGAGGGAGACATCAGATCTCATCCTGATCTCTAACAGATTGGCCTAACCCTAATCCTTTTTTTGATCTAGCTAAATTCTTGGCCTCAACAACTTCCAGTGGCAGTGAGTTTCTCAGTCTAACTACACATGTGGAAAAAGCACTGCCTTTTATTGATTTGAATCTGCCACCTTTTAGTTTCACTGAACATCCCCTTGTTCAGGTGTTATGAGACAGGGAGAACAGAAGCTCTTCATCTACCTTCTGTAGACCATTCATTATATACTTTTATTACATCCCTGTTACCAGCGAACTATAGGATGTAGACACTGGAGGTGAACTTGGTGAAATGACTTAGTACAATTAATTTTGTCTTGTCTCCTCATCTCCTATTTCTGTCAGGGTCTGACCCTGCTGCCACTGATGCCAATGAAAATGACGACACTGATTTTACTCTGAGCAGGCGCAGGTCCTTTGAACTAAGTGCTGTAGTGGTCTTCTTGATTCAGCTCACAAACTCTAACACGGAGACCAGAAAGAGTTGATAATTCATATTTCATCCTCTGCAGAATGAGAAACAGCCTGCTTACAACCTCTCCAGCTTGCAGATAAAAGCAGACAGGTTTTACCTTGTCTTTGAATTTATCTGCTTTGAAAAATTTAAGAATCTTTTGCCATTAGCTCAAACAACTTCGCTTATTCTGCTTCTCATGACACCCTTTTACCAGTATGCAAACCACAGGGGTTTGTTGTTTTTTTGTTATTCTTGATAAAATGGAAACAATGAAGCTAGGAAACTGTGCGCTAAATGGAATGATATCTCAGCGCAGTGAATGGTGGAAGGATTTTTTTGATGGCTGTGGGTGAATTATTGAAACCTCAAGCCGTGGCGGAGCTGCAGTGAAAAAATGGCAAACAAGATGCTAGTTTGTATTAACAGAAGGTGAAAACCCAGAACAAGACAAGTACTATTACTCCTGTTTAAGGCACTTGTTAGACTTCCACCAAAAACACAGCTTGAAGTGCTAATCTCCAGGCCACTGGATGAGTGATATTGTCAAAAGGTGGCTTTGAAGAATCTAGGTTATGAGGAAAGGCTCTGAGAGCAAAGAAGTTCTGAAGGCAAGTCAGTAAGTGGTGGTGATGGCATAAAGCCTTTCAAATTTAGGAAAAGGAGTAATGAAGTTCAGAGAGATTTCTTTCACAATGCTAGCAGGAGATAAAATACTTGGGATCGCGTCATTCCTAAGATTAGATTCTGTCCTCTGCTGCTGTGGTGCAAAGGGAGCACAGAGGAGACTCACCCATCCTACCTGACATTCCGCCGCTGGTGGACAGGGGCAGCTCTATGTATTTTGTTGCCCCAAGCACGGCAGTCAGGCGGCTTTCGGCGGCGCGCCTGCGGGAGGTCCGCCGGTCCCGCAGCTTTGGCGTATCCGCCGCCGAAGCCGCGGGACTGGCGGACCTCCCGCAGGCATGCCGCCGAAGGCTCCCTGACTGCCGCCCCCATGGCAACCGGCAGGCCACCCCCCGCGGCTTGCCACCCCAGGCACGCGCTTGGTGTGCTGGTGCCTGGAGCCTCCCCTGCTGGTGGAGAATCTGCGGGGGGCCAAGAGCCAGCCTAGCTAGCTGCATGCCAATCACCCTCACAGCCCCCATAGATGCACTGGGGGGGGCCCAGAGCACATGGTTCTACAGAGTGTACAGCTTAGAGCAGTCCTGAAGCTGCTCTAAAGTGACACTGGATGATGAACCGGCCCCTGGCTGGCCCCAGGGTCAATAAGCCAGGAAGGTGGCTTATAGCCCACTTTTCTCACCCAACTAAGCCCAAAGAGTAATAAATGCATGGGATAAGATTTCAGGGAAGTCTGTGGGCACAAAGAAAATACCTAAATTCAAGAAACACCTACATTTTGTTTCAGGAGGAGGAGACTGAAGACTAAATTAAATCTTACAGGGTCAAGGAGTATAGGCATAATGTTGTGCTCCTGTGCCTGAAATGTCTTACATTCTTAGCCACACCCAGGAGACAAGGACTTTCTATCTGATGTGTAAATGGGCCTAAGGCTACAGGTGATACCTCCCTTTCTTCAGAAGCACAAACAAATCACATCAAGTCTCCATCCCCTCTCACCCTTAACTTTGCAAATATTTTTGGTCCTAAGACGCAAGTAGAGATAAACTCCTTTAGATAGAGGTGTTAGCAAGACTGTTTCCACAGGAGCTTTACTAAATTGCATAGCTTCAAGGTTTCAGAAGAACCTTCCAAGCTCATCTCAGGCCAAAGGACTCTCCACCCCGGGAGATATGCTTATTATCATAACAGCTCACCTGAGATAACTTTGTTGTGGTGGCCGGCAGAAGCGGACGACTGAACTTCTTCTGAGAGCCAATAGCAGCTGGAAACGGTGGAGCAGAAAATACAGCTGCCACACAATTGATTTTGTTGATCCATGCCTGCATTTCTTCTGGGCTCCTGTGGAAGAAATACGGAGAATAATCAGGATATTGGTGGACTCAGTGTCTCCTCCCTCTTCCTCCTTGCTGTCAGCTTTATCATCATAGGGACATATGAACTACCATCTAGCGCAGTGTCCTACCTCCAGTAGTGGCTAGTGTCAGAAGTCCCAGAGGGTGGCATACAGAAGAAGTTTCTTCCTAACCACTTCAGTTAGAGGTTGGCTTATGTCTGGAAACATCCATTTTGATGGCAGCCAAAATGCTCTCACCCCTTAATTTGCACATTTCTTCTTTACATCCTCAGTGGCTTCACTGAACCACAAACAGCCGCACCATTAGCTTGATTGCTAATAACTTCCCTTCCACAATCAACTACTGAGCCACAGAATACACAAGCAGCGACTACTTCCCCATTAAATTTAATCAAAGGAATGGCCCTTGCCCAAGCTTCTACTTTGCCTACCCAAGACACACAATCCTGCCTTTGACCTCACTTTTCCAATCACCCTTCCCTACTTCTTACTGCAGAAGGGTATTAATAACACAATTCTTTCTGCACTTCTCAACCAACCAGCCTCTGTAAAACACTGAGTTTACTGCTGTGCCAGGACCCACAGCAAAGAACTCCAAGACCTTCAATTAAATCTATTGCATGCTATTAAAAATTGCCTGGGCAGTGCCACTGATTGAGAAATTGATGACCCTGGTGATGTAGGGAAGGGCCAAGCAAAGTATATTGAATGGTATAAAATCTGAGTTGGAGAAAATCATGCGTATGCAAGTCAAACGTGTCTCTTTTCCATCTCTTCCAACTATGGCCCTGATCTTGCAAAGACTTTCATGCATGCTTAACTTTAGGCACTGTGATTGAAGACACACTGCATAAAGACAAGCTCAAATCTTTGCCAGATACAGATGGAAAGGTGTGAAAATCATCCTCAGAAGGACATAACCACTATCAAACTAGGGCTCTTGGTGGGAACCTACAGGTACAGTAATCAACACAAAGAGAGAGACTAGAACTCATCTCTTCATCTCGTGCTTCCAGCCACACCTTGCTGCTTTTCTACCTAGCGGGAAACAGGAGTCTCCAGCCCCTTTCAAACTTGAATTCAAGTGCATTCTTGGGGCTCATCTGCATAGCGCTGCAGTGCAAACGAGGGCTGCGTGATTTCTAGGGCTTGGTCTACACTTACCCCCCAAGTCGAAGTAAGGTACGCAAATTCAGCTACGTGAATAACGTAGCTGAATTCGACATACCTTACTTCGAACTTACCGCGGTTCAGACGCGGTCCACACGCGGCAGGCAGGCTCCCCGTCGACTCCGCGGTACTCCTCTCGTTGAGCTGGAGTACTGCAGTCGACGGCGAGCACTTCCTGGTTCGGTTTATCGCGTCCAGACCAGACGCGATAAATCGAACCAGGAAGTTCGATTTCCAGCCGCCGAACTAGCGGCTAAGTATAGACCAGCCCTAAGGCACTCTACCTGCCCTGTGTAGACCCTGCGGGCAGGATCCACAGGGCACATAGTGCATGTTAACATAGTTCTGTTTGAAATGGGACTACGTCAGCACGAACTAGGTAACTTTTAGAGTGCGCCAGCAGGGTCTACACGTGGCAGGTGGAGAGCAACACGGTAGAGTGCTTTAGATATCACACACACCCCTAGGTCGACTGCAGCACAGCATAGTCAAGCCTTCAGTATGTGCTTACTCTCCAGCAAGCTGTGGGATCATTAATGGGGTTAAATTTCTATACCATATCGTGGTTCGGCAGGAACATACAGTAACTCCTCACTTAAAGTCATCCCGGTTAACATTGTTTCGTTGTTACGTTGCTGATCAATTAGGGAACATGCTCGTTTAAAGTTGCGCAATGCTCCCTTTCTAACCTCGTTTGGCAGCCTCCTGCTTTGTCCACTGCTTGCAGGAAGAGCCGCCTGTTGGAGCTAGCTGGTGGGGGCTTGGAACCAGGGTGGACCGGCAGCCCCACTATCAGCTCCCCACTCCCCTCAATTCCCTGTGCAGCAGCTGCCCAGCAGTTCAGCTGTCCCTCCCCCCACTCCCATGTGCTGCTCCTGCCCCTCTGCCTTGGAGCTGCTCCCCAAGCCTCCTGCTTGCTGTGGGGGGGGGTGTGTGTGCGTTAATGTCAGGTGTCCCCCTCCCCCCTGCTCCTGCCCCCCGCTTACACCTTCTCCATATAAAGCAGGGAGGGGACACAGACGGAGAGAGACAGAGAGAGCCTGGGGCAGCAGCTGCTGTCTTAACTTCCTGATCCACTTAAAAAGACAATGCACTTAAGAGTGGGTCAGCTTACTTAAAGGGACAGTGTGCATCTCTCTCTCTCCCACACACAAGGTGTGTGTCTGTCTCTGTCTGCTATGCTGTCTCCCCTCCCTCGTGTTCGTGCTGCCTTGTGTGAGAAGCTACATTAATAACAATGTGTTAACCCAGTGGTTCTCAAACTTCTGTACTGGTGACCCCTTTCACATAGCAAGCCTCTGAGTGCAACACCCCTTATCAATTAAAAATACTTTTTTATATATTTAACACCATTATAAATGCTGGATGCAGAGCGGGGTTTGGGCTGGAGGCTGACAGCTCGTGACCCCCCACGTAATAACCTCATGACCTCCTGAGGGGTCCCGACCCCCAGTTTGAGAACCCCTGTGTTAACTCTTGAGGGCTCAGCGAGTGCTAGTTCATCATTTAGCACTAAGGCATTCCCTGGGAAATATCCCACCCTCTTCCACCCTCTGACTCCACCACCTCAATCAAGCTTCACAATCATCATCGCTGTGAACAGTATCAAATTGTTTGTTTAAAACGTATAGTGTGTGTGTGTGTGTGTGTGTGTGTGTGTGTGTGTGTGTGTGTAAAAAATTTCCCTGGAACCTAACCCTCCCTATTTACATTAATCCTTATGGGGAAATTGGATTCGCTTAACATCGTTTAGCTTAAAGTCACATTTTTCAGGAACATAACTACAACGTTAAGCGAGGAGTTACTGTACTGTGAACGGCTGCAAATGGGCTGAGACTACACAAACAAATCAAATCAAAATCATTTGGATTTTCAATGCTGAGTGCTACAAGTGGCAGGTAAATTGCAAGCAAGGGCATGCAAATATAAAGCCAGAATGCTCTACTGGTATTTCCTGCCTTCATTACCTGTGATTTAGCTGAGGTCCTCTAGGCCAGTGGTTTTCAAACTATTTTCCTGGCGACCCAGTTGAAGAAAATTGTTGATGCTCGTGACCCAACAGGGCTGGGGATGAGGGGTTTGGGGTGTGGGAGGGGCTCAGGGCTGAGGTAGAGGGTTGGGATTCAGGCGTGAGGGCTGCGAGGTAGGACCAGGAATGAGGGGTTCAGGGTGTGGGAGGGGGCTCTGGGCTGGGGCAGGGGTTGGGGTGCGGGAGGGGGTCAGGGCTCTGGGCGGAGGGTGCAGGCTCTGGGGTGGGGCCAGGGATGAGAGGTTTGGGATGCAGGAAGGGGCTCCGGGTTTGAGGGGGGGCTCAGGGCTAGGCAAGGGGCTTACCTTGGGCGGCTCCTGGTCAATGGCGCAGCGGGGGTGCAGAAACAGGCTTCCCGCCTGTCCTGGCCCTGTAGACCCTGCTGCGCCCCAGAAGTGGCCAGCAGCAGGTCTGGCTCCGAGGCAGAGGCACGCAAACAGCTCTTGCCCACAGGCACCGCCCCCCCAGCTCCCATTGGCTGGGGAGGTGGTGCCTGCGGGCGAGAGCTGGCCGCTGGCCGCTTCCGGGGCGCAGCGCGGTATCAGAACAGGTAGGAACTAGCCTGCCTTAGCCGGGCAGCACCGCCGACGGGACTTTTAAAGGCCCAGTCGGCGGTGCTGACCAGAGCCGCCACGACCCAGAGCCTTACATTCCACGACCCGGTACTGAAAACCACTGCTCTAGGCTATAAAATCCATCAGACAACCTATGGACTGGCTGGTGTTCTATTTCGCTGCATATTCTAAGGCCCTGAGCGTGTATGCTGATTCTTGCAGGCTGACCCCTGTGCCCTCATGAAGCTGGCCTGCTCGGGTCTCTGTGGGGGTGCAGCAGTCTGCCCATGCAGATCTCAGGGGAAGATCGGGGCTCAAGCAGAACGTAGTTTTTTTTTAAGGCCAGAATGGACCCTAAAATATCACACTTGGAGTTGCAGCTAGCAAGAGATGTTAAGAGTAAGAAGAAGGGTTTCTTCAGGTATGTTAGCAACAAGAAGAAAATCAAGGAAAGGGTGGGCCCCTTACTGAATGAGGGAGGCAACCTAGTGACAGAGGATGTGGAAAAAGCTAATGTACTCAATGATTTTTTTGCCTCTGTCTTCACGAACAAGGTCAGCTCCCAGACTGCTGCACTGGGCAGCACAGTATGGGGAGGAGGTGACCAGCCCTCTGTGGAGAAAGAAGTGGTTCGGGACTATTTAGAAAAATTGGACGAGCACAAGTCCATGGGGCCGGATGCGCTGCATCCGAGGGTGGACTATAAGGTGGATAGAAAGCTGGCTAGATTGTTGGGCTCAACGGGTAGTGATCAACGGCTCCATGTCTAGTTGGCAGCCGGTATCAAGCGGAGTGCCCCAAGGGTCGGTCCTGGGGCCGGTTTTGTTCAATATCTTCATTAATGATCTGGAGGATGGCGTGGACTGCACTCTCAGCAAGTTTGCAGATGAGACTAAACTGGGAGGAGTGGTAGATAGGCTGGAGGGTAGGGATAGCATACAGAGGGACCTAGACAAATTAGAGGATTGGGCCAAAAGAAGTCTGATGAGGTTCAACAAGGACAAGTGCAGAGTCCTGCACTTAGGACGGAAGAATCCCATGCACTGTTACAGACTAGGGACCGAATGGCTAGGAAGCAGTTCTGCAGAAAAGGACCTAGGGGTTACAGTGGACGAGAAGCTGGATATGAGTCAACAGTGTGCCCTTGTTGCCAAGAAGGCTAACGGCATTTTGGGCTGTATAAGTAGGGGCATTGCCAGCAGATCGAGGGACGTGATCGTTCCCCTCTGTTCGACATTGGTGAGGCCTCACCTGGAGTACTGTGTCCAGTTTTGGGCCCCACACTACAAGAAGGATGTGGAAAAATTGGAAAGAGTCCAGCGGAGGGCAACAAAAATGATATGGGGGCTGGAGCACATGAGTTATGAGGAGAGGCTGAGGGAACTGGGATTGTTTAGTCTGCAGAAGAGAAGAATGAGGGGGGATTTGATAGCTGCTTTCAATTACCTGAAAGGGGGTTTCAAAGAGGATGGAGTTCGGCTGTTCACAGTGGTAGCAGACAGAACAAGGAGTAATGGTCTCAAGTTGCAGTGGGGGAGGTTTAGGTTGGGTATTAGGAAAAACTTTTTCACTAGGAGGGTGGTGAAGCACTGGAATGGGTTCCCTAGGGAGGTGGTGGAATCTCCTTCCTTAGAGATTTTTAAGGTCAGGCTTGACAAAGCCCTGGCTGGGATGATTTAATTGGGATTAGGTCCTGCTTTGAGCAGGGGGTTGGACTAGATGACCTCCTGAGGTCCCTTCCAACCCTGATATTCTATGATTCTAATCTGACCTCCTGTCTAACACAGGCCATAGAATTTTATCCATTTACTCTTGAACTGAGCCCAGTAACTTGTGTTTGGCTAACATAAATCTTCCAGAAAGGCCTCCACTCTTGATCTGAAGAGATCAATAGAGGGAGAATCCACCACTGCCTTCCCTTGGCAGTTTGTTCCAATGGTTACTCACCCTCACTGCTACACATTTGTGCTAACTTTATCTGGCTTCTAATGACAGCCATTGCTTCTCATGTCTTTCTCTGCTAGAGTAAAGAGCCCTTCAGTACTTGGTCTTTTCTCCCCATGAAGATACTCTCACATGCTAATCAAGTCACCTCTTAATCACCTTTTTGATAAACTAAACAGACTGATCTCCGTTAGAGACCCACTTAACCCTCCAAGTCACGAACTTCCTGCACCCTCAGAGGGTACAATCACCCCTCTCTCCTCCCAATCCTTTTCTGCCCACAAACAAAACAGCCCTAGGAAAACTCTGAGTGAACGGAACATACTGGGCTTGGAAAAGCAGGACCCTCCAGTCAGCTGTTTTGAGCTTTAGGACGTTGGGCCTCTTCTCATAGTCTGTTGCCTTTGATGCCAATGCATGGTGCACGCTAACTGCATTTTTCAGATCCTCCTCAGACAAAGCCTTTTCTGGTTTATATTCATCCTGCAGTAATTAAAAGGAAAAGATGGCAGAAGTTATTTCAAGTTGTTCATCTCTTCCTTTAACCTAACAAAGGCAATACAGTCATGTTCCATAAAAGGCCATCAACAGTGATTATAAAAATATCAATTTAACCTAATCTGTCCTATAAACATTTCCATTTTCGGTTCTTAAAACATTACCTTTTAAGATTCTTTAATATCTCTGCAAGGAAGTGAAGGAATTCCACCACCTTCCCGACAAGAAGAGGGAAGAACAGTAAGTGTCATGAAGAAGTTAAATAAATCCTAGAGGGCTAAATTCCACAGTGTTCTTAAGTCATAGCCCAGAAACTGATTTTGGATCTCACGTGGTGTCGAACCAGTGTAAAATGAGAATCAATTAAAAAACCAGCATTCTAAATACAATCTGAGACCCAGCAATGTTGTAAAGTGAAGCTGCAAAGACATTAGTCAACCAGGTGTGCATACGTATGCAACAACATGTGAAGGTGGCACAGCCAGCCAAAAATAGGGCATTCCAGAGGCATGTCAAGGGACAAGTCACCTCCCGGCAATGCTGCAGTGGTGTAAGTTTACACAAAGTTGCTTCAAGAGAATTTGCAACTAGCACTTAACCTCTATCCATCCCTAACCTATGACCACATGATGTTGATCAATCTTGATGTCAGATATGCCTCGTTAGGACTCCTGGTGCTGAGCAGGGTGAAGCGTGGCTGCCACATAATGGGGATCTAATGTTTAAGGGGGAAGAATAAGCTCTGGCCGTGGGTGATCTGTCTCCATGATTCTCAAACACTACTGGGCAGAGATCTAGTAGGCAGACCTGCTCTAGGAACGACAATGCAGGGGGCAGCAATGCTTTAAACGGAGGCTCCGCTAAGGGAACTGACTCATTTGAGTGCCCTGCACTAGGTCAGATCCTCAGCTGGTGTAAATCAGGGTAACTCCATGGAGCCAGCCAACAGAGCACGAGTAAACCTACGTGGGAATTCTAAGGATATACAGGCCACTCTGCAGTCAGAGCTAATTAAGTTGCTGCCAAGCCTGGAATTAGGATTTCCTCGACTCATCACCTTGGCTAGTTCAGTGTCCACAGAAATTAAACCGTTGACTTGCTGAGTTAGGGTTTCATCAGGATTCCCCCAGGTGGCTCACGCAGCAGGACACAGCCTGCACACCACTCTCATGGACTGATTATCACTGACCCCTGAGCACAGGACAGCGCTTTCCATCCCCCCACCAGGGTCATGGAGTGACTGTGCTGGTTTGTCCACAGAGACTCTGCTGAGCGAGTGGTTTTCTCAGACACAAGACCCATGCACTGGTGGGTCTGGTAGGTCATTATCACCATTTGCTGTCCAAAACCAATGCACTGGCCTGTAGGCCTCCCCCTGCCTGTCATTTGCAAGAGTCACTGTGGTTCTGCTACAACCTGCAATGGAGAAAACAAGAGGGTAGGAGACTGGAGCAAAAGAACCCTTCTGAATCTAATCAAATGTGGTGTAAGGAGTGTACGTGGTCCCACGACAAGAAGGAAAGATGGAGATTGGCAATGCTTCATGGAGAGATGCAAGCTAGGATAAACCTCAAGCCTGCAGTGGTCTGGCTCTAAAACTGTCACCGGATGTCAATGATCTGGCCAGCTACTGCCCTGTCTCACACTTTCCCCCCTTCTTGGGAGGGAAGATGTTGGCAAGTCAACTCCAGCAGTATCTGACTCCCTCCAGTATCCCCCTCCCAATGAGGCTTCACACCTGGACAGGCATGGAGACAGAAGGATCCCTTCTTATCTACAGACTGAAGTCAAACACCCATGCGAACCCTACTAGGTCAACTGGCAGCCTACAATTTTGGGCCTCTGTTAACTTCCCTGAAAGCCCTGGGAAGGGAACCGTGGAATCTCTTAAAACAATTTTACTTTGTTACTCTCAGACAAAGTCTAGAGAGGCTTGTGATGGGTAGTCAAACTTCCCCCACAAAGGCCCTCAGTCCTGTAGAGCTGATACAGGATGCTGAGACTTGGGCTGAAGGACCCCAGTAGTTGGAGAACACTAGGCTACACATCTCCTTTAAACATGCACAACACAATTCCCCTGCAGTTCCAGTGTCTGAATCGAAGTCGGCTGGCTCAAGCTCAAACCCAGTTACAGTGAGGCAGCATGACAGAAGAATTTGGCAGAAGCTTTGGCCTCACTATCAGCTGAAGTCATCTTTTAATGTAGTGTTCACTCTCAGCGTCCTACTGAACTCAGCTCTCCTTGGATATCCAGGTAGCCAGACAGAAATGCCTTTTCCATTTTCCATTTCCATGACTCACAGGCTGTGCCTTCCTTAATCCATTTTTAGTGAACCCCAGTGTGAAATTTTGCTTGTTACCAGCTATTGTACAATGGGTGGACACCTTCACTGACTATGCAGGATCACTATAAAATTCTTTTCTTCCGAGGATCCTGTACGTGTCCAGGTGCCGATACTTAGGTATGGGCTCTGTCCTTACGTCATTTTTTATCTCCTGTCAATTTTTCCCCCCTCTCTAGTCGAAGAAAAGAGTCTGAGCAAATTTACACACGGAATATCCTAAAGCCCATAGCATTATAAAGATACAGTGTAACATCACAAAACTAGTATCGCTGCAAACAAACCCAATCCAAACAAACCGGTATGGCCTGCTTTACTACACCATTTGTCAAGAAACCATTTTTTATTGCATGAAAGTCAGCCCAAGCTCGCAGTCTTCTACACACACATCCCATTTCAGCTCAGGCTAATGATGAGACATTGTGACAGTCTCCTGTTCTGCTGATTTCCTGTCACATTAGAGCCACAGAGGGCAGGAAATTAACCTGGGGGTTCCATGCACAGGACAGACGTTAAAGCTTGTCAAATTTCTGATCTTGTATAATCTTGGGCAGATGTATTTAGTTGGCTAATTGCAAGTGTTTCAGCTAAGCCCCTCTGGCAGCCTGGCTGCTCATTGATTCAGAAAGCATCTTTCTCAAATCACTCATTTAATAATGGAACAATAGGCAACACAGCAGTTAGCACTGGCCCCGTTCCACCTAATATGTGGCCACAGGCTCTGATTCTGCTGATGCTTATACAAGTGTAAACTTGGAGTTACTGTCCCTTAGATACCTCCGTAATAGGTGTCTTTAAAAAAAAAAACAAGGATAGAAAATCATGAGACAGCAGAATCAGGTCCATATTGCCCTTTGGAAGATGATATATCTACCAATTATTATTACTGTAGCATCTAGAGGTCACTGCTGAGATTGGGGCTCCATTGTGCTAGGCGCTGTACAGAGATAGAGTGCCCTTGCAGCGAACTGCTCACCATCTCAACTGACAAAATGTGGGAGGGCAAAGAGAGGCACAGAGAAGGGACATGACTTGTCTAAGATCATACAGTCGCTCAGGGGCAGAGCAATGCAATTCTCACAATAGCTTCCATGGAAGCCAAGGTAGCTAGAGCTCTTCTGGAAGTTAGGATAATTTGCGTATCATTTAGGCTTTGTGTTCACTAGCACTTTTGTCGGCAAAACTTTTGTCGGTCAGGGGTGTGGGAAAAAACCCACCCCGACCGACATAAGTTTCACTGACAAAAGCACTGGTGTGGACTGTCCACAGAGCGGCTCCACGGGAGATCTACAGCGGTGACAGCTGTGCTGTTGTAAGGTCCATAGCGTAAACACAGCCTTTGTGCTGAAAACCACAGTTCTGTAGCTTTCACTACAATGAAGCATGCCAGACTCTGCAAAAACTCTGTTTTTCCTGAAACAATGAACTTCTGGACTGCGATTTTCCATGCTTCGTTTCTCCCTAAGGTGGATTTCATGAAATCAAAATGTTTTGCAGAAACCTGTCACTTTTGACAAAAGCTTTGACTGGAAAAAGTCGAAACAAAGTTTTGACTTTCTTGTTTCCTTTTGATATGGTAAAACCATTTTGTTTCCAGTTGATCATTTAGTTTGGTCTTTTATATTTAATATTTCAACACTATGTAAAGTCAAAACAATTAGATGGTTTCAAACTGAATTTTTGTTCACTGCAGGAAATTTCAGCATTTCATGTTGATCTAGAATAAAATCCCCACCCTGTTTCTGGCCAGTTCGAAGGCAAACCCTCCCCCCTAGCCTCCTCTCAGGCCATGATTAACTGACTAGTTTCTGACATGCATCATGGCAGATGGGGGTCTCAAGAAGGGATCTGAAGGAGAAGGTAGAGGCCTTCTGCATGTGTCCATACACATAGGCAGCATGGAAGGCAGCACAGAGATATGTGTGTGACAAACAGGCAGATGATGTTGTCTTCACTGGTAGGGCAGAATGTGTGAAGCCGTGAATGACAGCAGCAGACTAGTAGGGATGGACAGAGTTAAGGAAGAGAGAGCGAGACGTGGTAACAGTGACAGGCAGGGAGAGGATCTGTGTACGGACTGGAGATGTGCCATGTGGGTCTTGGGAAACCAGAGTGGGTGCCCAACTGAAGGGAGGCACCAAGGGGAAAGGATTGGGAACCCTTGCTTTATCCGCCTCAAAGAAAGCTACTTCTTTTACCTTTTGCAAGTAAAGCACTGTTCCCTTCAGCACAGCATAGAAGGTTTTCCAGCCACGCTTCCCTCTGGGAGCTAAAGAGAAAACAAAAGAAATGCAACCCATTTAACTCAAATCCATTTTACCCTTTGTCTAGGCAACAGGGAACCTACATTAATTCTGCATTCAACGTCTCTTGTATTCTGCTTTTCAAAGGGGAACGTAACTAGCCAGAGTGCCTGCTCTGTAGCTAGGGCCGGGGGGAACAAAACAGCCATGATTACAGGCCAGGCCTGGGTCAGCAGGCGAATAGAGCTGATCCAGAAAACAGCTGCAGTACAGGTGCCTGTCCAATTCTGCGAGCCTGACAATATGAATTTCACCAGCCGCAGGAGTGGGAGACGCTATGCAGCACAGTCTGAGCTCTGTGTGGGAGCAGAGGACTAGAGTAGTGAAGACCACCAGATAGTGGAGTTAGAGGGAACTTCTCTAACTGCAAGCAGGCACCACTCATAACTGGTACAGTGCCACTCTGTAGGGGGTAGCAAACCAAAGCATCCATCCCTCTTGCTGCAGCCACAAAGAAACCAGGATCAAGTTTTCAGCTGCTTCCCCAGTCCCTTCTTCCTAGCAGAAAGAGAGAAAATGATGGAAGACAACTAAAATCCCAGACAAACTCCTATATTAAGCTGGTGTTAAAGTTGAAGGACCACACCAGTGAAAACACAATAAACTTGTAATTATCCCAAAACAAGTATTACAAAGCCAGGGAATTCAGAGTTAAAGCTACACTTCAAAGTATAGCCCAAATAAATTTGTTAGTGTCTAAGGTGCCACAAGGACTCCTCGTTGTTTTTACTTGAAAGACATTCAAACATGTTAAAGTGTAAAAATGCACCATTCGTAGATTCATAGAGCTTAAGGCTACAAGGGACCATTAGATCATCTAGTCTGACCTCCTGCATAACACAGGCCATTACATTTCGCCCCATTATTCTCTGCTAAACCTATCTGTATTTGACTAAAGCATAAATTGTGATTGGCTAAAGCACCTCTTCCATGAAGACATCGAGACTTCACCCCTTCCCTTGGGAGTAATCACCTTCTTGGTTACAAACGTGTGCCTCATTCTCTAATTGGAATTTGTCTGACTTCAGCTGCCAGCCACTGGTTCTTGTTATGCCTTTGGCCGCTAGAATAAACAGCGCTTTAGCACCTGGTATTTTCTCCCCCTGAAGGTTCCCACAGAACCTTAACTTGGCCTTGTAGTGACTCCATGAGAAAAATAAACGTGAAAAAAAAAACCTATCTTTAAAAATTAGTTTAATCTTACTTACCTGGGACCACAAAACCTACGGGAAAATGTTTCAGAAGTGTCTAAGTGACTTAGGAGACGAAGTCCCATTGACTTTTCATGGGACTTCGGCTCCTGAGTCATGTAGGCACTTTTGAAAATGTCCTAAATGCCTTAATCATGTGTATGGTTATCGCAGAAAGTGTAATCTTGAGTCTATTAAATAATATGCAATTTTTATTGTTCTGATTAAGCAAAGGAAGCACAATTCTTCCTTAAGATTTGTAAAGGGAGTGGACACCACTAGCAAACCTGGAGTGGGATGTTGGTAAAATAATTCTAAGCCACTCAGAACCTGTTTAGAACATGAAGTTTAACCAATGAGGTGGCCTATTTATTAGGAAGAATCAGGCCACTTTGATTTCAAAAGTACCTAAATATGGGTTTAGGAGTCTATCTTTAAGGCTCCAACTCTGAAAATGTTGTTCGGTTCTAAGACATCCGGACCTAGCATAATACATGGCACAACCTTCAGATACTTGTACACAACTGAAAAAGAGCAGCAGGTGTTCATAGTCCATAATAAAGTCAGATTTTGTTTTCAGTGTTAATCCCAGCAATTGTAATATGAGCTACCACCACATATACATTAACAACAATTGGGAAAAAACACAGATGCTCTCAGTAGTCACTGCTCTCAAAGCCACATTTCTGTTGCTTCTCCCACCCTAAAAAACAAGGCTTCATATAGCAGTGACTACTGCAGTTTTCAACAGTATAAAAATAGCATATGCACCAATACACTCCCCACCCCAAAAAGCCCTCAATAATGAGTCCTCCATTATAGAGTTACAACAATGAGGAAATATGAAATTAAAAGCTGGAAATGCAACCAAACGTAGTTGCACATTTATTATGAATAGGGGGCCAGTAGGTACCAAACAACATCCTATTTCTGAAAGGATGCAAGGTCTAGTTTGAAGAAGAGTATTATACCTCACTAACAAGGAATGACCTGCTACAGGGTTATTTTGAAAGGCCAGTGAACTTCTACAGGGATGGATCAATCCTTGGATTCTCATCTGGGGACTGTGACACCCTGGGGGGGTTGCAAACAGGTGTTTCAAGGGGTCAGGACCATCCTTCCCTTCTTTATGAAAAATTTCTGTTGTAACTTGGAATCACGGATGGCAAAAGTTGAGAAATATTGGGCTAGTCCATGAACAGAACCTACAGTAGTTCCAATAAAACTGGTCTGAGTTTTGTGAACAACACTTCAGTTTCTTTAAGCACAAAAGATACACGTTGCTCTCCAATATTACATTTTCATTACACAAATTCACTAAAGCAAAGGACATGGGTACCATTAACTTTATGCTACGGGGCATGGAATAGTCCTCAAAATGGCCCAATAGTGTTCTTTTCTGCTGTGATAATCACATGGCTATTTTGTTTCTTATGCCTTCAATAACCTGGATGTAGCAGGCTTGTTCTTGTTTATGGGCACAAGGCCATAAGCCACTGGAGGGTGAAGAGCAGTACCTAAGAGATAAAACAATAAACATAAAAGATGCTCACTCCTCTTTCCATCCATATCTGCATGGATTTTCCGAGCCAGAAATCCAGTTTTATACACAGCAGCATTGGGGTCATGAGGAATGTCCAGGAAGGGGTTATTGGAATGGCCGATCCGAGTAATGGTCTTTGAATGGGGTCCATTATCCTTCTCATCAGTACCATCAGAGTGAGATTTTTTTTTCTCCTCTTCATCTCTAAAAACAGATGAACACAACGAAGTTTAGGTGAAAAACCCATCGCCCAGCGCCATTATCCTGCAAGGTTTCATCTCCTTAATTTCTGCACGTACTTTATTTTTCAGAATTTTTCCTCTCTTTAGGTTATTCTTATCAGCTTTTTTTTACTATGGGCTTGATCTAAACCCACTGAAGACAGTGGGACGGCTCCCATTGGCTTCCATAAGTTTTGGATCAACAAAGTATTTAAGCACAACCCTAACTTAAAACATTTTGACACAAAAAAGCCATTTTCTATTAACAAAACTTTTCTGGGAAATATTTTCAGCCAGCGCTATTTGTAACTAACCGTTTCTCCATGGCTTGGGTGCCTAACTCTACCATCCGCCCCTGGCAAGCTCTTATGGAAGTCATTGATTGAAAACTGCAGGATCAAGCCCTTGCTTTTGAAGAGATTGCTTCTCCCCTCCTCGCCAGGCAGGAGATATGGAAAAAGCAATCCCATGGCAAATGAATTGGTTTAGCAATGACAAGAAGATACGAATGCTTGACATCTTTATATTTGTGAGGTCCAGTTATGGAGATCTGTACCACTGCTAATATTTGCCTCCATGAGTTCCAGCCTCTCACTTGACAAACGATCACACTCTCCCAGGACCCCAGACCCACGATGCGGGGGAGTAGCAGGAGACCCTGGTTCCCAAACCTAATTCTGGAACAGTGGCAAACAGGATGCATCTGAGAACTGGAGTTTAAAGGAGGCAGTTCCCATGGAGGAGGGAATCTCCAGACTGCATGTGCAGGAGGATCACACAAGTGCAGTTACAAGGCAGATTTCAGAACAGAATTGCAACACTAGTTTACAATACCCTGAATTTTAGCATTATTATTATTATTAATAATAATAATACATTATAATTAATAATAGTAATAATAATTGGTACTACCATAGCACATAGAGGCCCTAGTGGTAGGCGAGGACCCCATTGTAACAGGCACTGTTACAATTCTCAACAATATATTTAATTTGGGGATTTTCCTTTTCCCAAAAGTAGTAAAATTCTCCATCACAATTTCATTATTTTTTTCTCTTGGTGGAGTCATTTTTTCTGTAGACTTCAGACTAAAAAAGGAATCCCAATACCTCCATTTTATTAAAGGTAAAGTTTGTTTCACCAGCAGACTAAAAGACACCAATGTTTTTCTGTAATCTACACAGCCCTCCTTTGAAAAAGGCCTTACAGATACTGATAATTTGAATGCAGACCGTGGATTTGCAAGTGTCTTCTTCAGCGAACAATTCTTCAAGCATGTATATTATATATTGTGTCTCCAGTCACCCTATTCTACACTCTAATTCTTAATTCTATTGCCTGCATAGGGGAGCAAACATACTTCTTATAAACAATGGGGAAAATGCTGATCTCTGTGCTCCGTCTAAATATCAGGCAAATGAAACATATTTCACTTTAGATTATTCCACGCCTAAAATGGAGCAAGTCAAACTCAGTATCCTTCTCCACTATGGAGCCAGTAAGGATCCATCTGATTCTAAGGGCAGAAGGGTCCATTCTGACTATCTAGTCTGACCTCCAGCATAGCACCAGACATGGAAACTCATACCCATCTCGCCCAACAGCTTAGGGTTGATATTAGGAGAGGATGGTAAGACTTTAACTTCCTAATACAAATGTACACACACAAGAACCTCATGGGGATACTGGAGACCCTGAGGGGAGTTTAATTCAGTAGAAGGATGGAAAGTTACATACCAGTTATTGAGCTAAATTCATCCCAGGTGTAACTCTACTGACATCACTGGAGTTACCTCAGGGATTAATAGTGTGAAATTCCAGCTCCACTCAAGACAATGGGAGATTTGCTACTGACTTCAGTGATATCAGGATTTCAGTCATCCTCTTTGCCACGTTTCTGTCGCTTCCCCAACCCTAAAAAACGAGGCTTCATATAGCCCCAGTACAATTATAGCTCCACTTTCCAGGGAGCATGAGGCAAAAATACTACCAATCTCTACAGAGCCCGACTCCTCCACATCTCTCACTCTTTAAACCACAGACCGAACATTTAACACAGCCAGAGGAGATCTGCATGTGTATGTAAACAAGCACAGATTATGGAAGAGTGGAATCAAGAGGGGAAAAGAGAAAGAACAACAACAATCACATTTCCTGGGATTTCCATTTCCCTCATCGTTCAATCCTACTAAACGGTATTTCATGCAAGAGGGATTGGGGAGCGGCGAAAATAAGGAATCTTTCCTGACCATGTTCTTCTCTGAAAAGCGACTGTAAGAAGGAAAAGAGAGATAGGATCCCATATTTACTGGCTTCCAGATCAGAGCTGCACACATTACAAATCACAAGACATGGTTCATTTTAATAGCCGACTGCTTTGCAATGGGGGCTAAGTTAGCCCTTGTCTTTGATGGTACGTGAGAAGGAATACTGTGACGGGTTGGTTCACAGAAACCCCCTTGGAAGCTGCCACCCGATGTGCCAAGACTACCCCTGCTTCTGTTTTCCCTGCCAGCTCAGGACTCCAGCACCCCGTCTTGCTGAATTAGACACTCCAGTCCACTTCAACACAGACCCAGGGTCTGAATCACTTGTCCCAAAACTGCAAGTTTACCCAAAAACAGCTCACAGGAGTGTGCTTGTCTTTAGCACTCAGATGCCCAACTCCCAATGGGGTCTAAACCCAGATAAATCCGTTTTACCCTGCATAAAGCTTATGCAGGGCAAACTCATAAATTGTTCGCCCTCTATAACACTGATAGAGAGATATGCACAGCTGTTTGCTCCCCCAGGTATTAATACATACTCTGAGTAAATTGCTAAATAAAAAGTGATTTTATTAAATACAGACAGTAGGATTTAAGTGGTTCCAAGTAGTAACAGACAGAACAAAGTAAGTCACAAGCAAAATAAAATAAAATGCGCAAATCTATGCCTAATCAAACTAAATACAGATAATCTCACCCTCAGAGATGCTTCAGTAAGTTTTTCTCAGACTGGACACCTTCCAGGCCTGGGCACAATTCTTTCCCCTGGTACAGCTTTTGTTCCAGCTTAGGTGTTATCTAGGGGATTCTCCATGATGGCTCCTCTCCCCTCTCTCTTCTCTTCCACCCCTTTATATATCTTTTGCATAAGGCGGGAACCCTTTGTCTCTCT